TTAGTCCTGCCTCCAAAATGCAATCATCAGTGTAATTCCAGCGTGCGGTGGAAATCTCTTTATCAGTCTCAGGATAAAGCACAGACACTCTGGGCTGTCCAGTCGTGGCACTGAACATCCATCCTTAGTCATCACTCAGAGACATCCCATCTTTTGGGACAGACTCTTATAGAAGGAAGTATTACGATTAATTGCTATATGAGTATTTTGTCAATCGTTTCTCCTTATGGAGATGAGATTGTTTAGTTAGTAGTTATGGATTTGATTAGAATTACAACTACTTATCCCATCACATACAGTAACATGACCTGTTATTTTGCACTTTATTAGTGAAAAAGTACTAGAATTAATCCATGAAGAACAAGTGTTAAGTTAGAATTTTATACAGCAAGTAGCATTTTCATTGGAAAAAAACCTCAGAAAGTAATTTTAAAATAAATTTAGTTTTGGAGAGGATTAAAACATGTGATAATGTTTTAATATAGCGATAATACTATAGTGCTTTGACATCTTTAGAAGGCAAGATCATTTTTTTATTTTTACTGTTTTCATGGAAAGCAACAGAAATTATGGATTAGAATCTCAGATGATCACTGACAATCACTTTATCTTTGTAAAAAATAGTCTCTTTCCAGCACCCAAAAATTGAATTTAAAAAAATTAACTTCTGGGGAATTTTAAACGAAACAAAATTTCCTGCTCTGACCCAGCTGTACTCAAAACACTCCTCATCAAACCTGACTTACAGGGTCGAAGCCTCCTGTGCCTAGGTCTGCTGTGGGTTGTCAGCAGTCTGTAATCTATCTCCTGGGCACCTCACTGAGCATACAGATACCTAAGACTGCAGAAGTGGCAGTAAAGACAGTAAGATCTCCCTCCTATCAATGGATTTTACCTTTCAGCTGCCCACCTCATTTTAAGCAACCCACAACAATTAAAAAAGATCTTACCTGGCAAACCTGCCTTGAGGTCCAATACCCTTAGAGTAGTCAGACAGATTGTCCTTTCTCGGGGACCTTGGGTCTGATGAGGCATTTTAGCTAACAGAGAGCTGATGTCTCTTTTGAGTGGTGTCCTCCTCATCCATAGGCTCAGGAAAGCTGTAACTGATTAGAGGCACTGTACAAAATAACAGCAGCCATGATAGAAAACTATAATGAAAACAGTTGTGAGGATACATACATAAGCAGAGAGTTTTACAGTCCAAAAAGCCAGTAAAAGAACACCAGAGAAATATATTAAAAAGGGTAGCATGGAGGCAGGTAAGATGTATTTTGCTGTTTTAAATTGTGATCACCAAAATCAGTAACACAGGGGAACAAGGTTAAAAACCCACATTATATCCAAATAGCAAACAGAAGAGAAAGGCAGAGAGGGGTACCAGCCTCCTCATTGTCCTGGGTACCCACAAGTCTATTTTTTTTAGGAGCAAGGAAGAAGTTTCCAGACTGAAAAGACAGCCTTGTTCAACTTTGGACCTTCAGTTTAAACTGCAGACCAAGCTAAACAGCAAAGAAAGAACGCATTAAATTTCTCAGCTTCTGTGAAGGGGTGGAAAGGAGAGTCAGAAAAGAGAAACATGGTCACGACAGGAGCTGAGCCAGCAGAGAACAACCTTTGCCTTTTGAAGACTTCATCAGCCTCCTGTCAGCTAACTCCAGAGCTGCTTGTTGTCTGACTGGGAAACCCATAACCACTGTGTACTATCTGCTCCAGTCCTGCCCACTCTAACTGGACATTTTTGTCTCTGGAAGACCTGTGGCCAGAGGACAGTGCAAAGTCCCTGGCTCACCATCTCTGTGACACCCTTCTCCAGCTGATGGCCCTGAGGCTGTGGAGTTTTGCTGGGGTAGGTGGAAATAACCACTAAGAAGAAATCTTAAAAAGCAGCGACAGAAGGAAAGAAAAGATTCATAATTATTAAGGTGTTTCCTCCCTATAACATCTCTACAGTTAACTAATATCAAAACAGCCTAAGACAAAGCCCATACTTGATCTTCTCAGCAACTTTTTCAGTATTTTTGGACAGGTGAGTATTGTCTGAGAACTCACAAAAATTTGACTGCCTCCTGCCAACTGCCATGGGTATGAATACCTGTGACCCTCTTCTAAGTCTCAACTCTGAGATACAATACTAGTCTAATGGAAAAAGAAGAGACTCCAGACAGTAAGGACTTCCACCACAGTCTTCCAGCCCCATTGAACAGGTAGAGAGTAAGGAAGGATACACCAAAACCAAACTTCAAGAGTTGCTGTTGAAGTGCCCATACCCAGGGAGCGGACATTGCTGCAGTGCGTGTTACCAGCAATGGGTGTTATGGAAACAAAAAGCCTGCTCTACTAGAGGAGACCCAGAGTTAGATGTTGTCCCAGTAACAGAAACAAGTTTCTTAGGTTGGTTTAAAGGGAGGACTGCACTCTCCTTAAGATGTTCAGCAAGCTGACACATCTGCTTGACGCCTCTCATCACTGATAAGGAGAAACTACAAAGTCTGAGGTTTTGTGAGTTGGTCTCATAGCTTGAGTGGAAGTGGAAAGTTCAGCCGAGACCTTTGTGTTTCTTCTAAAAAAAGCTCTTTGTATGCTTTTATTCATGCCTTTTTGCTTTAAAGAGATCAAGCAGGAGCAGCACTGGTTGTCGCAGCAGCAGCATAAAACATTGGTTAGAGTTTTTGTCTCCCAGTCTTGTTTCCATGTGGGTTCTCTGATGTTTAATGAGAGCTGAACTCATACTACAACCTTTTCCCTGGAAGAGATTAACTAGGTCTTTTTCTTCATCACCTCTGTCTACTTCAACAAAATTTGTAGCTCCCCGTTATCTGTAAGACCTCATCAAACCTTGACCTTCTGTCAAACTTGTTTAAATTGGTCACTAATTACAAAAAGAATTAGAGAGAGATAGCAGGTAGGGCACACAATTAATGGAAAGAAAATCTGTTTCTGCTACTTTTCTGCTTCCTCCTCCCATAGATACACGGCAGGCTTGGCAGCCAGGAACACTTCCACCAGGTAAAGGGGTTCTGTAAAAAAAAATCTTTCCCTTTGTTGCCTCAACGAGTTGCTCCCTACAGCAAGAGACAGCCTCTGCCCATATGACCTCGCAGCCGTTTTCAGCTCCTCCCTCCACCTAATTTGCTGCAGCGCAACAAAGCGCTCCAAAAATAACGTTTATTTTCCAAAACTGGAAAATGGCACAAACCACCCCAAAGGAGAGAATGACAACGGCATGAGTTCAGCGCAGGCTCGTGAACTGACCCTCCCTGCCAGGGACAGGAAACTGGAACTTCACAGAAAGAGACTGAATGGAACCAGATCGAACGACAGCGCCAGAAACCGCGACCATCGATGGCCAAATCCTGCCGAAAGGATAACTCACCCGCCCGTCAGTCCTTCGCTACAGCGAGCACAAGGACTGTGTCGTGGCTCTACAGCTATAAACGCCTCCGCTTTGCAAGTCTGCACGTACAATAGGCTGCAGCATGCACATTAAGTGAGGAGAAATTTAAAGATCAGAAATATTTCCAAATGATAGCTTTAAAGTTGGGGATCAGCAGAGCTTGAACATCTGATTTCAATCCTAAACTATTTTTCATTAGTGGATGTTGATGCAGTACCCCAAATACACTTACAGTTTCTGTTCAAAAGGGTATTCTTCAGTAACGATAGAGCTGTTATGTATGAACTGCTAAACAGAGGCCACGCCACCAGTGCTGAAGGGACTAAAAGTTGGACCAGCCAGAGGAGAAATAAACTAAATCATTCGCTTTGAACTGACTGAGCCAGATTTGCCACTACCTTACATCTTGTATAACCATTTAGATCATGTCTATGTAGGGTAACTTTTATGAAAATGAAGTTATAAATGCATAATAAATCCATCTAGAAAAATTCCTTGCCTATGAAGAACAGAAAGTAATTTTAATTTGTAAAGTAATAAAAGCTGAAAGCCAAATTGTAATGCTAAAATTGAAGTCAGAAGTTATATGAAGACAGGTTTTCAGGAGCAGTAATTTTTTGATGTAATATTTGAAAGTGATCAATTCAAAATCTGCTTTTGAAAAATTGTCTGAGCTTTGATCTTGCTCCAAATTTAGCCCAGAACAACTATTATATGGCTGACATTAAAAGTCTCAAAACAAAGTGATTTATAATGGAAACACAGAAAATAAATCACTATTTCAGAACTTCCTAATGCACCACAGATTAGATCCAGAAGGTCAGACAAAGTTGTCATTGAGTATGTGAACTCTCCCTGATGCAGCTGAGGACCACGACACACAGAAGAGCAAATTCAGTTAATGAACTCGACCAGAAATACACAACGACTCATGCCTTCTTAGGTATCATTCATTTTTTGGAGAGGCACTTGAAGATTATAATCTACAAAGATCATAACATAACCACAGTCAGTGACTTGCAGCAAGTTGAGAAGCAAGGCTTCCTCTGGCTGGAGCAAGCAGATACGTTCACCAACGCCCCGCTGAAGAATAATTGACCACCAAAATGAGAAGGGCCATTAACATCCTGAATTAATGGGCTTAGTGGTTTTCAAATGAGGTACTTCCATGATGGACATGGTGTGGATTCAGCAAAGTTTGCCCTTTAACAAACACAGCTTCAGTTTCAAAGATTTGATTAGGCTTAATACCATTAGGGAACCATTACTGATTTTATGCTGTTGTTGTTACTGCTTTAACTATCAGTTTCTGAACCAAAAATTGCAGACAGTTGGCTTGACCAAGAGTCAAGGTTTAGGAATGTAAAAGTAAATCCAAGGTACAGATGAGCTTCAGATGTGGACAGGCTTCACAGGGTTTAACAGGCTCTCCAGAGTTTGTCAGGTCACAGAAGCTTTTTTTTTTAAAAAGGGGGGGGCAGGGCGGGTGCACGCGCACATTCGTTTCTTTATATTTTTGGTTTGTTTCAAACACTTCTGGACTCAGCCAGAGCAACTAGAATTCATACAAGCAATTATTGCATGCAACAATTAAAAAAAAAAATCACAACAATCTTTTGTTTTATTGTACACCATTTACAAAAAGAAAAAACAAATTAAAATGATCTTCTTAATAAGCAACGCTTGATCACCACCACGTGTTTCTAAAACAGCCAGATGTTCACAGTTTAAGAAGCCAAATAATACTACTACTTTTTTGTAAATGTTAATGGTGAAAGAGCAATAATAATGGTTTTAGTCAATCATCATTAGTACTTGAAAGTACAAATATAAATTAGACTCAAAAAACTTGTACAATAAAATCTGCTATAAACAAAGCTAATTAAAAAGAACTGCTCTCAACCTGTGTTGTGGGTTTCATCTTGTTTTAAAATTAAAAGCAGTATTTATTTTCCTGAAGCATCCAAATGAATGTTCATATCCAGATGTCCTTACAGAGAAACACGATCTTCATTCTTTCCTCATTTTTAAATCTGTTTATATTTTATTTTACTTCTGATTCTCCTTTTCTTCCTTGGCAATCCTCTTTGTCACACCACTGAAATACTTCTCACGGAAAGAATTGTGTCCCCTGTATGGCATACATTGACCATCCAACAAGTAAGAATTCTGATCTTGATCCTGCATGGCATCAAAATGCAAGCATTAGATTTTACAGTAGTATGTTCCGCAGGTATTGCCATTGGTTTCCCTCCAGACTTTTTCAAACAGTTACAAGCAAGACTAAAGTTTTTGAGTTTTCTTTACAATGCAATGGCAAACATTTAAGTCATTAGGTTGATTAAAGCATTTCAAAAATAGGATGCTAAGGTTTCCATTAGCATTAACAAGAACATATACATCTTACTGCAAAGTCTTAACATTTAATAGAAATGCAAATCCACATGTAATGGACTCTCATTTGACATTGATCAAACAGCAGCTGTAAGCAAACTAAGGGGTTTGTTGGCAGTTTTGAGGGGTTTTTTATGTACTCATTCAAGTTTTCATCGTTCTACTCTGTAGAGCAAAACGATGCAAGTTGTCAGTACCAGACATCTGAAGTTTTAACAGCGCTGCATCACTGGAAATATCTCAGCTAACATCACCAGAATCCAACCTTTGCATGAATGAATAAGAGCACCGGTACTTTGCCACACAGACTTTTATAAAGAAAACATAAAGCTTAGTTCCCAGAAATAATACCACCTGGAGAATTCAATCACTCAGAGGTTCGTGGAAGGCAGATACAAACAGAAGAACAACGCAAATTATTAAAATGAGTTCCTACAGTTAATTTTTTGTGTGTGCAGCATTCACATACTTCTGAAAGTTAAAGTTGACACAGTAAATACCTATTTGACATCTGCCAAGAACATGGTTTAGGAAATTGGCCCATTATATACACAAAGGTTTAGTTCATTGTGTACTGTGGCTTTATACAATTAAGATACTTGTCAACTAATGTTATCAATGCTGTAAGATAAACAATACATCAAACTTAAACATCGAGAGGCTAAAGAAAACTGATGGCAACTTCTAAAAACAGTTTTACACTTATCGTTGATGTCAATTTATTATGCTCAATAGCAAGAAGGAACTGAGATAAGCAGCCTCACATAGAACAACCGAACTGTGCAACGAGAAAACAAGAACAAGTATATGACAGAACTAAACTTCTATTCCACTAAATGTTTCTTCTCAATGCATCCTCATTGTTCTAATATTTTTAAGCCACACAGCAGCCTACAGATTGGTTCATTACTTAAGTTTACAGTTCAGTTATTTCTTCATATTTGAAAATAAGGTTACTGTGGAATGCTTTAGCATAAGTAGTAGGAACATGGAACTAGATTTAAGTCAATTTTTTTCGTATGACGAAGTATTACAATGCCAGGATGAACTGAATTCTAGCAGACAATCTCCCCCTTCAGCTACTTTGCAGCCTTTCCAGGTTTTCCGCCTAGCAAGATCAACACCTCGTCTTGCTTTGAATATCCTGATAGGCAGTGAACTAAAGAAGTGAAACAAAAGGTTTTCCAACACAGCAAGATGTTTGCGTGCACGTACAAGTGCCCTCTTCTGGACACAATGGGATATGCCTATGAAGTAGTTTTCTGCTATCCTAGCAGGTACCAGTAGCATGCCACTGTCTTAAATTAACTTGCTACATGTCAAGTGCCATGGGAGTATCTAACATGCAAAGCATGTACACCGGTAGAAGCAAATTAGTTCTATTTAAATACTGCACTGCTGGAAAACAGCAGGAGAAAACGACCTCAGTAAACCCACTGCAGACACGGCACTATCTATTGTCTTTTGGTCACCTGTGAGAGACTGCCATCTCCAAGACCATTCTCTGACTGATAATCAACAGGCTTTTAACATGTCCATGGGGAAAAAAAATAACTACTAGAGGCAGACAGGAAACAAGGAGGACTTGAGACACGCTCCTCTCACAGCCAGCCTGTACCCACTTCTCCAGGTCTCTTATACAGGAGCACTCTGAGGAAAAGAGAGCACTTATTCTTCCTCTGAATTTGTAGGTCAGAAATCCTTCTTTCACCTAAACGTATAATATATTTTTATACCTTTGAGATGTATTTTAATGGTAATTCTATTGCTTGTTTTGAGAAATGGATAGGATATTTGATCCTGAAGGATAATGATATATGGGTCAACAGTATTTTAACATAAAAACTAATCTCCACAACCTCCAAGAGGTCACACATCTGTACACCATTCATCTTGACTCCTTAAACAACAAAATGCTGATTCAGGGTGAAGGAGGAAGGAAGAAAGGAACTACCCCCCCTCTACCCCAAGCTGGTTAGGGCAAAGAGAGGATATGATACGTAAGAGAACAAACTTCAAGTTAAACAGAGCTGCAAGAGGAGCATCTGCATTCATCAAATGGAAACAGGTTTGGTGCAGCACTCCTCAGCAGAATCCATTTTGTAAATCCAGGCCTCATCAAAAGCTATGCAAATCATTGCTCGCTAGATGAGAGGAGATCTGTGGTCAGGCACGGATTTCTTAGGAGAGCTTACAAAGGAAGCTCCTGGCCACATCATACTAATTCCAGCTTAAGAGCTTCCATTCCCTACGTCTCCCCCCTGTACAGACATGAGCACCCAATAAAGATGGTAACTGCTTCTGAAGAAAATAACAGATTGGGAACTGCTTCTTAAAAAACAGAAAAGAAAGTAAGAAAATCCTGAACTACCTGGAGATGCCAATCACTGTTGACATTCACTAGTCAAAACAGTTTTCTGGGCAACATAAGATCTGACTGAAGTAAAAGGAATTCTTGGATTTCAGAGACTAATGATTTCTGAACAAGTTCTATATCTACATGGGGAGCTGAATGGGTACCATCTGAACACTAGGGGTAGGCTGCATTTAATTCTCAGAGATAAGAACTTGTCAAAAATAATCTCCATGAATCAATTTCTTGTGACTATTTGCACTAGAATTTGCCTGGGCATCAGGCACCAGCCCGTTTCAGTAAGGAATCCAGTCACACATCCTCAGCTAAGCTCTATCTTGAGTAGCGCAAATTGGTAGAACATGCACTCTAAATACTCGACAGGAGTGTTTTGCAGTAAGAGAAGATCTCTTATAGAGGATGTCAGTGGCAGTGCCAACTCTCCCTCAAGTGCATTAAACTGTCCAGTGCAATTAATATGGACGGGGTTTTCCCTTTATCTTGCTTTTTTTTATTTAAAAAAAAAAGTTTAAATTCAGGGAATGGAATTGAACAACAGTGTTTTAAGGGAGATAGTCTCCTCCTCTTAACACAGCACACAAGACGAATAAGGAATACTGCTTGTGACACACAGCTGCATCTAGGGACAAGTTGCCTTCTTCACTTACCTCCTTTGAAACAACTGTACATATCTTTCAAGGCATAAAGATTGTAACTGGTCATTCAACACAAAACAGTGAGACTTCCCAAGAAATAATTTCCAAGACTGATCAGCCACGATCAGCCTACCTGGCACTAAGCTCTTTCCCCAGTCTGCCAGCACTACCAAGAAGAAAAAGGACTTCTTCCTTTATATGTAAAAGTCAGAAGATGTTCATTAGTCCCTGGTCATTCTTTGGTTCTCACTTTGAATAATTTAAGTTCTCCAAACAGCAGACTAATTGCAAACAGTCATCACACAAAACTTTTGCTCTGAAATGTCTTACAATTACTTCTGTGACAACCAAAAACTAACAAAGCTCTTGTCAAAGTGCGTGCTACCAAGTTGCTTTTACCTAATTTGAGTTTTTCAACTCAACACTTACTTGTTCTAAAGATAACACTAAAAAAGGTGTTACAGATCTCAAATAAATTATGAAAGAGGTGAAAGAAAGCGGAGGAAGCTTTAAGATAATGAGAAATTTCTGGTTTTTTTTAAATCTTGGCAAATATTAAGGGATATTCTAAAGGTTTTTATGAATCTAGCATGCCTCAGTTCAGCCCCAGGGTAATTACCCACATTCAGGTTTTGTTTAAAAAAGTCTTTCTAGCCTTATCACAGCTTCCTACCACTCTACATCTGGTGCTGGACAGTAGCTACAGAAACCACCTGTCCTAACGTTATACAGCTATAAACAACACGGAGCAGTTTCCAAATCAGGGACAACAGGGTCACACCCAGGAACAGACACTGCTAAATTCAGTAGGAAAAATTCTACACCAGCAACAACTTTGGAATGATTGTCTGACACTAAAACGCTGGACCCATCGTATGCCCGATGCTCCAGAGTTCTTTCACGAGCAGTCATACGCTCAGCATCCGCCCTTCAGTCAAGTTTTCTGTTTCATCGTGCTACATTATTTCTATATTCTCTTTCAGCCCTTGTCAATTACACATCTCTCTTCCAGTATTTTTTACAAGAAGTCCTGATTAGAAACTTCAGAACCAGGCAGCATTACTGGCAAAACAGGTACCGTATCAGACAGCAGAGGAATGAAGCAAGTAATTCAGCAATAGCTGAAATAATTCAGCATGGGGAAATTAACAAGTCTCAGAAAACAGAAAGTCAGATATACAGTTGTAAAGAAAGAGAACATCAAACAACCCTACAGTTAAATGCTGTTAGTAAGTCCAGTCCTTCTGAAAACAGCTGGTTGATCACCAGAAATAGATTACAAAGAACCCTTGCGGTAATAATGCTCTAAGTTTTTATACTCCTATTTCCCTACTGATTAACCACTTACCAGTTATTTGACATTCAAATAAAAAATGATTCAAGTCAGATGACAATTCAGATGTAGGTGGCACAAACTGAGACCTTTTGGCCTCACATAACTATACTTTTTAAGGCTTTTGAAAAATAAATTGGCACGACGGAAGGTACATTTTCACTTCATTCAGGCTGGATGAATTGGTTCAAACCTCCTCTGACCTAAAGCAGAAGACTGGACTCCTACTAGATCACAATCTTTACAACAAGAATCTACTTGGCCAACAGCTTCTCATTCGTCCACTACACTTCAGTTCTTACATGAGTGCCTACAGTCTTTGGGGAGCTGAACTGGTGTTTTTACTGCTTCAAAAAAACCTCCCTTCAGAGTTCAATGAGGGTAGATCACACACAGTCCTGACTGCTATAATATCAATTAGAAAGTTTTATTTCAGGTTTAGAGAGATATTGGGGAGATCCACATCCATTTAATACCAGAAGAAGTGACACTAATGTCCATAGAAAAAAGTAATACATCAGGCTAGTAAGCTCTCGCCTCGTATTGATTTGTTCCTCTCCCGTTCCGCACTCCGGTTCTTCACTTCTCTAATTCTTCTGCCTTCAGAGTTTTAGAAGACTACAAGTCGGTAGCTGGCTACTGCTAGCTGCCCTCTACAACTGCCTTCATTGACTTTTATTATTATCACTATAATTTAAGATTAGGGAGGAGGGAAGTTACTAATGACCACCATGGCTGTCCAAAAAAAGCTTTAGATGTTAAAAAACAAACAACTCTTCTGCTGATACTGTGCACATGCTGGAAAAGTCCACTCCCACCAACACTGTGTTAAGCAGGAAATCTTTTCCAGTTGGTGTGATTTCATCACAAACTTGAACAGAACAGATTGGATGCTTATAAGACAGTGAGTTATATACCACCTTTTGTGAGGTTTTTAACCCAACATTTATGATGTTCATGCTTTATGGTTAATTATGATAGATCAATACTTCAACTAGACACACTTTTTACATTCACTATGGTCTCATTTACATTACAAGCACAATCAATTGCACCACCAATTTCACGTTCAGTAACTAACTGAATTAATCTCCAGTTAAGAGTTTAGAGTGTTAATAGTGAAATCAAATTTGCTGTGAAATCTGCAATTCGTTACTGGTGGCAAACACTGGGAAAACCAAAGGACTGCATAATGACACCACATGATTTGTAAAACTTCTTAGTCAGTTGCTAGCACTACACTAAGCTGAATTAAAAGGCATTTGTGAGCACCTGTTACACATCAGTTTAGTAAAGCAGAGAGGAACTGTCTTGAAACATAAATGTTTGTATATTCACAAAAATTCACCGTTTCATTTGGGAAAAACAGCCAAGAGTCCAACTACTGAATTTCATGATCATATCTGGTGAGTCAGAAGTATCCACTTCAAAGGTTGTTCAGGAAATTAAGACAGGAAAAACCACATCCCAGGTACAGGACACTGGGGTGGGGAAATCCTGGACAGCTAGACACCAAACAACAAGACCCTAAACCAAGCAGGCACTAGCTAAGGAGTCAATAAGTATTTTGTTATTTGGACAAGTTTTGCATCGTCAGAAACAGTACCTGGGTTCTGCTGCCTTTAAATTATCTAAAAGACATCTGGAGTGCTGAGTGTAAGCACCTGCACAGTTTTATCTAAGCGGTAAGCCTGCCAACTAGACTCAGGTGATTAGAGCTATGCATTTCCAGACATGAACCTGTCAAAGCAGGTACTGAAGTACCGGTCATGCACAAAACAAGAATAACAAATGATGAAAGTCTATTCGCAGAAGGGTGGATTTTTTAATTTTTTTTTTAAATTAGAACATGTTATTCTACAGCACTGGCAGTAATAAAACTGCTGCAGAAAACCTCCATGAACATCCTGAGACGTACTTGTCAAAAACTTTCATAATTTAGCCTCTTGGTTGGCTACTGGTGAAGTTGGCAGCTATGGCTCTGACCTCCACATACAGCGTTGTAAAAAAACTCAGGCGCTACTTGAGAATCTCAGTCATCATTAGCATTATGAATGCAGTACTGAAACCCTGCTGCTTTATTAGTGTAAGCACCGTGCAGACACAGCAGTCTGGCTGTATCTCCTGTCATTTAAAACAGCTCTTCCAACTGACAGGCATGTATTAAAAACACTTGCTCACCGTTTGCATGTGTTTTCATTAAGAATTTGCTTCACCTTTGTTTAGCATCTCTTTTAACAGTATCGGGTGAGAGTAGCAGCAAGAACAGAAAGGAGACCTGAATGCAATATTCCCTGGTCCCAGCCTCTCAGGAGAGACTCAGCATGTCCCAAAACAACAACAACAAAAAAAAGGCAATGTGCTTTGCTATACTTACGTCACAGCTACAATACTATTTCAAAAGCTAAAAAAAATACCACTCTCAAAATGAAGGAACAGAATTTTACCTGTTTACCAGAACAGGTTTACCTATACTGCAAGACCCACAAAGGCATTTAGTATTTACTTGGGCATCAAATGACACTTTGGAATCAATGGGAAGGTAGGCATCTAGGCATCTCTGTGGATGAGATTCACAGAGTTCAGTTATCCAAGGAAAGCATATGCAACTTTCAGAAGTAACCATAAGTTCAAAGATCTCTTTCACATTATTAAGCGGCTTGCTCACCATGAAAAGTTTATCAAAAATGGAGTAGAAAAAGGAAAAGACCAAAACCAGAATGGTCATTTAAATCACTACCCAATTTATTTTAAAGAAATGTGTGGCAATTTTACAAAAGCTTGAACTCTCATCATAAAAAATTTAAGCGTGACAGAAATAAGGCACAAACTTTTCATGAATGCAATAGCTACTATTTTACACACTATAACCAAGAATTCAAGCTTACCTTGAATTCTTTCACCTTTTCCATGGTTATCAGGCGCCTTGACGTGTGGCTGGAAAGCATCTGCTCACAGTTACTAACAAGTTTCAGGCACGGGTGGCGGGGAATGATCTCTTCTGTATATCTGGAAGAAATAAACATTCATAGACCTGTAAGCTCATGAACTGGAACACTTGCATCTGAAACAAAATTCATACAGATTCTTCACAAAATGGCTTACACTAGAAAGTTGCTATGAACTTTAATCTGACTGAAGAAATTCAGGCATTGGTGCTCCAGAGTTTTTACAGCACATATTTCAATCAACTTGTGACATAAAGTACATAGAATAAATTAAAACCTCACAGTAGAGAGACACATCCCGCCTCCATTTTCTAGATCTATTTACACGATGTTAATGTATGCACACAGGCCTGCCCATATAATTTCAAGTAGAAAATCTCTCGGCCAGTCAGAAGTAATAACTTATCTAATCAGAGCTGCGATTTTAAAAAATGTACTCCACAGTCAACAAATATAAAGTTGTAGGAACAAGAGACTTAACTCTGTCTCCCTAAAAGGAGATCATTACACTTCAATTCCGAATTGTATTAAGCCAGCTCTTATTAGACAGGGACATTTCTGGACTTCAGAATTTGGTGTTACAAATTTATCACATTGTAATTACTTTTTCCTAAATAGAAGAACAACAAACAAAAAAAACCCCATGATCTTTTAACATTAGATGGCAGCAACACTGGCTTGCAATTAAATCCTGTCTACAGAAGCAATCAGTTACATTGTTTTGGATGCCCCCATCTCATAAGCCTACTATTTTCTATAAAAACAGCTTTCTGTAGATCGCTTTCAGTCCTTCAGTTTCTCCAAATGCTGAAAGAGGAATTTAAGGATTTAAGAGCTTTGTATGGTACTATAGGAGCAAGAAGTATTGACCTAGCTAATAAGATAAATATGAGATCAGACATCCTTCCTATATACTGAAATACAGATGAGCCGTTTAGTTTTTATAATAAGCTTCCCGGTAATAGTTACTACAACGTAATAGATAAAATGGTATATGGTACTGTCAGTGATTATGATTTCATATAAAATGCTTGCTCTCATGATTCCCCAATGTTTGGCTGTCAACAGAAGGCAGACATTGAAAAGCAGAACTAAACAACTTTCACACCTATCACTTGAAGACAGAAAGGAGGACCTTTGTATTTTTCCCATAAAGAATTGCATTTTCTGAATGACCTTTACAAAGTAAATGTATTGTTCTGGGAGACAGAGAAGTCAAATGTAACACAACTCAAAATAGGATCCACCTAGGTGCTGATGGAAATCTTGACATTTCTTAAAGATAATAGCGAGCTGTTAAACAAGTAAGACAATATCACATACAGACTTGTAAAAAGGAAAAAAAACCCAAACAGCACTGCCTCTGCATCGTTCCAAAACTTCCAGATCGCAAAAATCACCTTTCAGTCACTTCTCATGTGTGCAATCAAGGCTAGGTGAAGTCAGAACATGCCTTTGACAAGGGAGAATCAAATTAATTCTCAACTATTATTTCTGTTACACAGGACTACTGATGCACCTAATACTACCAAACTGCCTCTTTCTCTTACAAAGGTAGGCACTCTGCCACAACATCTTAAAAGTTTCTCTTCATAACCATATAAAAGCCTGACTGCAAAGGAATTAAAAGAATTCAGACTCAACAATGATTTCAATGTCAGATTGAAAGAGTAAACTTCGGAGTGAGATGCTATCTTGCAGAGGGAGAGATCATTATCACTTTGTTAAAAAGCCCTGTCTGTTAGCATTAATGCATATATTTCTACATTCTTTCAGGTAAAACTCAGAACATTTTCAAGTAAGAAACACAGCAGTGGTTTCAACAAACATCCATTTTAATCCAGTTCTTAATTTAAGGTAATACATAAGGATCTCAAATAACACACGAACCTGATGGCAGGTGTTGCCAAGGGATATTTGATAACACAACATATTAGTAGACAGTACCTTATCTTCCCCACGCATACTTGCTTTAATCTTTGTTCCTGTGTTCATCACAGCTGAACATAAAGTGACAACACTAATATTCTGTGCTAATATAGCGACTTCAGTATATCAAGTCACAGTAGTATGAACAAATTTTAAGAGGGAACCCAACTAGAGCTTGCAAGCTGACCTCCCCAAAACAGCAACTAAAGAAGAAGCAGAAGGTGCAGTTCCCAGTTATCTGAAGTTAAATACCAATGTTCAGTGAGCAGACAAAAAGCTCTGGTATCTTGACAAACAGAATAATCTCAGTGATTCCACACAGAGTTTACTGACATGGAAATCTAAGAATTCACAACCACACACGGTCTGTCAGGGTTAAGCATGTATAGACAGACACTTTGAACAATTAGCTATAATAATGTTAATGGCATTCATTGTTTTGTTTGTGACTAGTCTTACAAGAAAAAAAGCCTAAAATACCAACTCTATCGCTAAAAAAAAAAAAAAAAAGCAAGCTACTAAGTGCACCCTTCTGTTATGGAAGAATGTAACAGAAATGGCTCCTTTTGATTTCCAAGTTTTCAAAACAGCACGTGATAACTACATGTAGGACCGTCAGATGCCATTTCTATGGTGAAACCAGGGACAACCACCACTTTATGCATCAGTACAGTTTGACTGTACATAGAAACACATGACATTGTAGAAGCTATTTCTTCTTCTATGAAGAAGTTTCAGAGCACATCTACACCTGGAAGATACTTAGAAACAGCCACTGTACATCAACTCCCCACTTTACCGTGAAACAGTTTTGGAAAAAAAAAAAAAAACAAACAACCCAACCGAAAAAAAACCAACATCAAAACCTTAGATAAGAGATGCTGAAGTAAGGTATGCAAACAGATGTCTTTCCTTTTAAACCCAGTTCTAATCCCAGGCTGCACTACTGAGCAGACAGCATCCTGCAGCCTCTGCTGGCCTCTTTTGTCCTTAACAGGGCTGCTCCCCTACACTCCCTGCCTCTCACTGCCATCTCTTGGTCACTTGGCTTTTGATTTCTCAGAAGAAAGCTAAATCAGTAGTGCCAAACCCCAAAGAGCCAAGAATGTTCTCTTACAGGACCTTGTCATGCACCTCTATCAACTATTCTAGCAGAAACACATATTAATAAAGAGCCTTGCTACTACTACCTTAGAAATCTGTCTGCACCTTGAAAGTCTATTTTTCTAAGCTTAAACCTCAAGCCATTGGACATGCATTTGCAATGACACGTGAAGGCTTTTTCTTTTTGGTTATAATCGGGAATTACCTCCATCCAAAAACTATATTTCAATTCACTTTCCCTCATGTGAAGTTTCAAAATATGAATTCTGAGCATTCAACACTACAGAAGTTCCAGCTGTACTATGCCCCAAAAGAAAGCACAGCGAGAATGTAGCATCTGTTCTGACGTACTACATACCAGAAATCAAGAATACATACTCAGGCCTGTATATCGGCAGCCAGTAAACTAATCTTCCTCCCATCACCAGATATTCTGCTGCGAACTTCAACAGGTCAAAAAAGATGTCACTTAGATGATAACTGGATGAAACGAAGATGTGATTTTCTGTGCTAAACAAGAAAATTTACAAGTGTAAACATAAAAGCATGGGTAAAACCTGCATTTTTAATTAAAAAAAAAAAGCCCTAAACAAAAACACCCAAACCACAAAATAGCACGATCTGAGATTTGCAAAACTACCTAGGACAATCCAGGAGTACAACTTCTACTATGAGAAATACGGCTTCCCAAACTCCCCTACCGGCTCTTCAGACTACCATCTTCAGTATCCGTGGAAGTCAAAGAACCACAAGCACGTTGGGAAGAGTTATTCTGCACAGCCTCCTTCTTAACGGCAATTTAAAGTAAAAGGCAGAAGACAAGGAAGGCCAGGCAGTGGAGAAGCCATGCCACTATCTCTGAACAGAAAGGAGCAACTGAAACCAGAGGTATTCTGGTTTACATTTTTTCATGATTTTGCAGCTTACAGGGACTGAAGAGAACTTTCTGAGAACACGAAACACAAGGTAATGGTGGCTTGCAGAGAAGAGAAATAGGATTTGAAATATAAACACATGCAAATGATAAGCAGGGAGAACAAATAAGAGGACTTCATGAAGTGACATACTAGTTCTGCAAACACAACAAAAAGGGCTTTTCTTCTTTAATTATTATTACTATCATTTTCTTAAACTGCTGACAGACAACCAAGAAATAATAAAGATTCTAAAACTGTGACTGGGTTTCCATGAAGACATTTATGTTCTACAAGAGACAAGACAGCTTACCTACCTTCTTTCGGCTGACTTAACTGTTTCCTTTTGCGAACCCGTTCTGCGAGTAGCTTCTCTGATACCATAGGGTGCTATACAAAGCAAATGCATAATGCAGAGATGAGAATCTCACCCTTTGTCCAAATAACATACACTTATATTATACATACACAACAGTGCACAAACTGTGGCTTCTACAAAGCTAAAAAGAAGAAAAAAAAGCTTCTACAAAGTAAAAGTCAGTTAGGGTAATTTCTTCAAGATCTATTACAAGTTTCTTGCTCCAAAAGATTATTTTAAAACTGTTTCATAGAAAGGCCTTCAGCAGTAAGAGGCTCCTAGCAGCTTAGGCGTTTGCTACACTACAAAGGACAATGCTTTTCTGTTTTGTTCATTAAAAGGTATTCCTTACATTTCCAACATGTGACAAATAATCCTACCCTCCTTTGTTTAACAGACACTAACATCTCCCCTATAGCACTTGGCTAATCTTTTTCAAAATGAAGTTGTATATATTGAAATTTCTTGCCAACGCATTACACAAATGGTAATTCTTACACAGACAGATAAGAAAAGACAGAGATGGCTTTCTCTCATACCTTTCTGCACGTTTCTAATAGCATAACATACCTATTTCATGTTCAATGCATTTGTTTTTGTAAGACTTGTTTCAGCATCATGGAAGCCCCAATATCACCATTTTGTAAACGCAGAAGTTGTGATGCAATTTGCAAACTCAGTTCTACGTCATATTAGTATTCTACATCGCCTTATTGCCAAACAGGCCAAACGAAAATTAGCAGACAACACACAAAGAAAAGTCACGCTCCTTATTCCTAATTAACATGGATGTGTCATCATAGGAGACAGCACTAGAAATCAGAAATCGCTGTATCAAGGTCTTTTATTTATTCCCTTAGCCTCTACTCCCTCTCGTGCATGAGGAATGGTGTTAAGTACACAGGTTTCTAAAAGCGTGGAGGATCCTTTCAAACCACTAGTGCTTCTAGTAGTTAAGTGTATCAGAAATGCATTAAAATTTCTCTTTGGAAGCATTCCAATAAGCACTTAACGTTAAGTCTCCAGAAGACCATCAGAGCTGTACGGCAGACCCCACTGTGTTGCAGATCAAGTCCTAACAGCAGCATAGGCCATTCTGACAAGAAGTCTCCATGCATCAATGAAGTTACGCCTTTACTGAACGGGACTTCTTCAAAGGATGATTTTCAGCCATATTGATTTCTAGGGGCAAACATAATATTCTCTCCATGGAAGACAGTACTATCGCCAGCTTTGTTACACATTTATAATTAACCTTAAAATAAATGCAGAGACGTCAAATGCAGATCCAATTTCCGCAGCGCTGCTCTCAACAGTCATCTTTTGTAATATGGGAACTGCAGATCTGAGCACCCATCAAGACATTAAACCAACGCACATAAGCGTAGACACAGGCAATAATCTTTTAGTCATTGTTATTAGGCAACAAAAAGCATTAAAAAACTTACGATCTGTAATGATTGCATCAAACAGCATCCCTTTTCGCCAAATCAGTCTTGAAGAATCAGAAACTAGCGCATCAAGGTAATACTTCTCTAAACCATACTGTCGGAGATTAGCTCTGATGTTTTCATCTGGCCCTCTCCATTTCTGGTTCTTTCTGCTTGCCTTGCCTGCGGGGCACGGAACAGAAAAAAAACGCATACTCAACAAACTGTTTTATAGGAAAAGCTTTTATATACTCAATCATTTAATTCAAAGAATTAATGTTGCATACAAACCCAGCATTTATCTTCTGCCTTATTCTATTTGCTGTCACAAGTATTTGCAATAAACTTCACAAGTAGCAAGGAATAATGAAAATACATGAGAAAAGTTCTGCTGCACCATTTGCATAGGGTGTCACAGAACACCTTGACAAAAATGTTGGTTTGCAAGATACTCTCACTATCCATCAGTCATAATCCTCTCCAGTAAGTCAGATATAATTTTCACGGAAGTTTTTCAGAGAAGAATGGGATTAGACTTCCTGTGTTAGGTTACAAGAAGCTTCCTACATCACAGGCCAAGAAAGCACTCAGCTCTTGTAATTATCATTTGGAACTTTGTTTTGGTTTTCATTATTCCTTTTATTCAATACTTCCTGCTTAAAAAATAAAAGAATAGCTTAGCTTGGATACATGTAAATTGGTCAATAAAAATAAGCATGACCAAATAAATCCTGTGAACACTAATGTTGCTTTGAAATCCACTAAGTATCATCCGCTACCATCAGTATTCTTAAATTCCAGAGAATAAGATTTCAGTGGCTTAGAAATATGCAACATTACCTAATCCATGGATTGTGTTGTAATCTATATCAGTACCACACACATATGCTCCAAAGTGTGCTGAGGAGATTAGAAGGCCACCTATAAAAGGAAGAAAATGCTGCTATAAATATTATCTGTGTTAGGATTTTTTGCTCAGGAACTTCAGGAGTTTACACCAGTAGCACACTAGACCCAAAGCTAGACCCAAGGAAAAAAAGAAAGAAAGAAAGAAAAAAAATTAAAACTACCAACCAGTTAAAATCAGTATACAACTATAATCAGAGATGATAACACTAAGTCCCATGTCTGCTATACCTGATCTTCCTCATCTTGCTATGCCCCATGTCACACTCTATCTCTGAAGAGTGTTCCTACGAGTTTGTTTACGGTTTTCTGTATTTCAAGGCAATAAGATCCTTTAATCATAACATGAACCAAAACTTTTAATTCTACTTTGCAAGGAGCAGAATTTCAAATTGTTGGCAAACGATTTGAAAAATCATCACCAAACAAATGGCAATTCTACCATGTCTCTTCTCAAAGACAGACTCCTTAACTGTATCTAAAAATCAAACTTATTGTATAGTGTGGCCATTCCCTGAGCAAGAAGCAATGGTCAAGAACCTTGTAAATGTAAATACCTCCAACGTAAACAGCAACATCAAAAAAGTTTCTGCAAGTGTTTTGCAGTGTGAAAGCTATGTAAGGATGCATTTTTCCCTGTGAGTATGCTGCCTGTTTGGTCAGTACATTTATTAGTGTACTCATCCTGCAATAAAACTAACTTTTAAAATTACTATTACCGTGATCCACTTTCCTAATTAAAAAAAAAAAAAAACTATCCAAAAAACATGTGTGAGTTCCCCTTGAAACTGGGCAATGGCTGAATAGCCCACAGAAAAGAGTAAATGATGTTCTCTCCTTACCAGCTTCCAAATGAAAAAAGGACAGACAGCGGAAGATTACCAAAGAGCTGTGTCGAGTTGTTAATAGGGAGGTGTGTCGCTAACAGAACGGTTTAAAACAGAACAGTGACTGAGAACAAGGCTGTGAACCCCACGGTACTGATGTCAACTGCTTGTGTATACAACAAGTCCTGCTAAAATAAAGGGGAGGATTGCCGCAGGATGAAGCACAGGGAACAACAAGCAAGCTGGCTGTGCAGGTGATACCAGTTCTCCCATTCACCAGCAGCATGGAGAGGAGCATCTCAGGTGGCTGTATTGCCCCACGCCACCCATTCAGGACAAATCCCTAATATGCACTGCGTGCACAGACTAAAGATCCCATCTTGGGGCACTAGAAAACTCCTATATCATATGCTAGTGAACTCTACCAAAACTGAAGGTGAGGGAGAAAGGGAAAAAAAAAAAAAAAAAATCCTCTGCTTTTTCTTGTGAAATGGATCGGGGAAAAGCAAGGTTACTCACCCCAGAGGAGTCACCCATTTCCCTTCTTGATGCAATCCCTCAGAACAGATGGGCAATACCTCCAGAGGGTCAAGACAAATTTAGCTAGCCCCTGACCCCAAGTATGGCATACCACCCAGTCCTATAAAAAAAGTAAGAAGAAAGTACTTTGCCCATCTAAGAATGTTTTTAATCACAGGGGAAAAAATAGTTAGGAAAACATGAACTTACAGCTTTTAATAAACCTCCGCTGGTACTAGTTCAACTGTGTTCACACAGAAGGTGCATGAATACTTAAATACTCTAATATGGCCAGCCCTTTGACCTATATCAAACAGATGTACACAAAGGATTAATCAGAGAATCACTGTGTCCCCTGATGACTGTTAGCAGAATGATGATGGCACAGAACTTCATGCCTTTCTATCGTACCCTATTTCCCCCATCTCTTCAGCACAGATGAGGGTCTGGTCTTACCACTGTCCTCCAGCATGTCAAAGAAAGAATTCCTGCCATTTGCAATTACGCAGTATCACAAACTGGCAAAGGGAAAGTAGGGACAAATATCTTGCAAAGGTACAAAGAGCAAGCTTATTGAGATAACCTGAACAGATTGTCTAGGAGGAAGTATAAAGTATTTGGGTAAAGAGCTTGATTTATTCTTCCAGAAACTTCCAGGCTTCCTTCTGCCTAACACTGAGGAAAGAATATCTAAACAGTTTATGGAAGTTACATTTTACAACTCAAAACCAATCCTGGCCATTCCAATTTTGTTTTACAAAAAAGGGGAAATCAAGTCTCCTAAACCAGCCCGGTCAAAAACACTTTTTATTCCAAGGACAAATTCCAATTGTCCACTCTTACACTAATGTGGAAGACTTGTGATTTGGCTCATCCAGAAAAACAGTTTGCTTCCAACTAGCAAGCACCATTTTGCAAGGCTGTTCCAATTTGGTACTGTTTACCCTTTCAGCTAAAAACCAGGATGAAACCAAGCCAGGTATTAAAGTTGCATCAATAAAGTCGCATCAATACAGAAATCTGAACTGCAGTTTCTTCAAAATACTCCTCAAATCCTGAATGTATGTTCTTTCCAAACCCATCAGCTCAAACTCACTGCATCACTCTCAACTCTGAACTAACTCCCAAAATTCCAGTGGCAGGGCAGTGCTGCACACTGACAATCTTAAAAATCCTCTAAAGGACCTCAAGAGACAACTGAAATTCCTGGGGTTAACTCACCAAAAGTAGACGCAAAAGCTACTGTTCAGTTGTTTAGTCACAAATACACTTTACTGACAAATAGTGCGCCACCTACTATCTCCAGTGTCCCTTACATACCTTTAGTCTCAAGTCTGTATATTACAATGTCTAGTGCAACAAACCCATAAAAATTGCCATTCAAATCATTAGGCCATTTGAGGAGGTTTTTGTATATGTTACCTTTTGAACTGAAACACAACATTTAACTTTAACTTCTACAGCTCTGCCACTTCTATGGGATTTTTCTTCCTCTCACTTGACCCTTCCTTTTTTTTTTTTTTCCCCTTGAATTGTCACTTCCAATGGAATGAATGCTCTCAGAGAATCTTTTGTGATTTTGGGGTTTAGCAGATTTTTGTTAAGAGACACAAAACCATAGACACTGAAATGAAACAAACTGCTTAGAGATGAAGTAGAGGAACTTCCTCAACTTTTCAAAGACTACTGCCCATTTGCAAGGAACACAAGCACAAGCAGGAGCAGGAAATTTCATAAGACATTATTATGACCACAAAAAATCAGGTTGTATATGAACAAAAATTTAAGACAAAAAACATAAGGTTCACTGAAGCTTTGTGTTACTGAAAATATTATATCCATGGTCTGCTTTCTATGGTACAGAGAAGACACATGTCAGTAAGAATTTGCCCTACTAGTGACCCTGCAGTGCTGTCTTCTCTCTCCCTAGCTTCTCTGCAGTGATTTCTGCAGTGAATTCTCTTCATCCTCCCATTAATGTAAGTATTTTTAATTGTAGTCTCTCACACGTGGTCTTCCTGATCGAAGTTTAGCAAAACCTTTGTTATGTTTTTGAAAAAACTACTATGGTAGCTTAACACAATATACTCTTGTATGATTAAACGGCACAACCTGACACAATAGATCTTCTATTTCACCTACAAAACAGCGCAGTTTCCCTTAGGTAAAAAGTACTTCTACGCCACACACAGTAATATGTGGAACAAAAGCTCCCCCTCCTGGCTTAGCTAAGAAAAGTTCAGCTGGGGGCGAACACATGGTGTGCAGTATTATCCTGACAAGACGTGATGGTACAAGGAACTGATCACTATTGAGTGCCATCACCTAACTATTGCTATGATGTGTTGTATGCCCAGAAGTGCCCTCAGCACTCCTCTAAATAGCCACCTCCAGAAGTGCTGCTCCTTGTAACATTCTGAAAGTGGCTGCAAGGAGTGCTCTAGCCAAATTTCAGTTCTTTCAGTTCTTAGTCACCTTGGATCGTACGCAGTCCATGACACGCATGAACTGGTGTTTAAGCTATGTGACATAAAACAATACAGTGAAGACAGACTTGTCAGAAGTGTAAAATAAACTGCTTACATCTTCTGAAGTTGGTCTCCTTCCCCGAAAATCCCTTTGAAGTTAACAAAATATTCATTTCATAATCACCATTTCTCTTTTGGTATCATCTCAAATATCAGTCAAGCACCAGAAGCCGCTGCACCAGGTGAAAGTGTGGTGTGAGCAGTAACACTATCTCCCAGTTTTTCCCATCAGTAGAATAAAATATTTACCTGTTCCAACAAACGGATCATATACAACATCATTGGGTTTTACTCTCCCATGGTTTGCCATAATGAAAGACAAGCAGGCATCCATGCTCGTATTTCCAATAAAGTGTCTCTTTTTTACACTGTAGGACTCTATAAGTTCTCTTTGGCCATCTGCAATCTGTTGGAACATTTAAAATCACTGTCAGGTCTTAGATATAAGCATAAAGGCTAACAGACTTGTTTAAGTGACACCACGCCACAAACAGGTAACTTCATAACACATCGCTTTGCTTTCTGCCATCTGAAAACATGACAGACTTCCTTCCAAGCAACAGATACCTTGGTTCAATACCTAGATAAATTCTTCAAGACAGAGGTCAAAAATATACAAACAATTTAGAGGGAAAATTCTTCTGAAGAAATAGCAATTAGAGCAACTGTGCTATTATTCTAGGTATCAGAAAAACAATTCCTGGCAATTCAGAGTTAAAAGAATTTCAAAGTGATGAGGAGTAGAAATGCATGTTAACACATGTATGCACATGCACATGCTTACAGTCGCACAGAATTCCGATCTTCACTGCTTTTCTGTCATGCTCAAAATCTAAATTTGTCTAAACTGACAGATCAGAAATCACTGGAAAAAACAAACAAAGACCAAATGCTAACATTTTTACATAAGACTTCCAAAATACGCTGAAGCACCAAAGCAGTCTGGAAAAAAACACATTCAAAAGCTCTCCCAACACTATTCCCCAGCTCCGGTCAACATCAGTCTTACTGGATAAACAAAATACACTTGCCAATTTTTTTTCAGGTTGGTTTACTCATTTTTAAACACTTCAGGAATCCAGCACAGATGGGACAACAGCTGCAATGTTTTGCAGTATTGCCACAACCCAGGGTGGTTTCACATTAATCACAGGCATGAGGAATATTCACAGGTGCTAGCAGATCACTTGGATCTCTAATTTGTCCAAATACAAGCCCCTGATCATAGCTGTACAACCTCAGCAGCGGTCTTCCCTCCCTCCAGCTGCCCTTGACCCAGGACATTGCAAGCACATATTCCCATCAGGGGCTGGTGTCATTCTGGAAGATGTTCTTTGGGTAGCCACTTTCTCCTCACAAAAAATAAAAGACTAGATCAGATTTCCTCAGGATATCCTGAACATGCAGCAGGTTTGGAGTGTAGACACCGACAGGCAAGCAGGTTTGTAGTAAAGACCCCAAATGACAAGTTCCAGACAGTTTTTGAATGTGATTCCTACTGTACAGCACTGCACTGTCAGCGTCCCCTCGGGCGGGCATCCGCCTGTGGGCTGGACCAGCCGATATCCAAAGCCTCAAGGTCTGTGCACGTCTGCAGAGGAGCCTGTCAGGACACTTGAAGCACTTAAGAGAATGCTCCAGCGTGGCTGATGCAACTCAGCCGGGGTGTGAGCCATCTACAGGTCCTGTAAATCTTTCTTTGTGTTTGAAACAAGAGGCTGGTGCTTTCAGCTCCATCTGGGCCCACAATACTGTAATACAGCACCATAGCCGTGCAGTCTCACTGCTGCATTGAGCTCCCTCAATGGAGGGCAAGATAAGGTGTGTCCCCAGGCAAAACTTCAATTTTTTGCACCTCTAAATTGCTGAATTAATCTGCTTTTTCCTAGTCATAATAAGGACTTTCAAAACTTGTATCAGTGTATTATGCAGTGACAGATCCAGCCGTAATTATATTGTCTGCTTCCATGAAAACTCAACACATTTTTTTTTACATTTAAATTGAAGAACACATTCCTGAAAATACAAGCTCATAAGAACTGAAGCAAGCATACTCACGCACCCATCTACCAAAATACAGATGAAAGGGCTCTTCTGGAACATTATTTGGGTCCATTCCATAATCTTCCAAAATCCAGAAGGTGTGTTCTGGTTTCTTTAAATTTACTTTTCCTTTGAATGGCAGAAATTCAAGAGCCTATACCATAAAGAAAAACAAAGTAAAAAAAAAACAACAACCAGGGTCGAATTTTTGAAATATGTACCCCAGCAAAAAATAAAAAGAAAAAAACAAACCACAATTCCACTTGTGAGAGATGACAGATTAGTACTAAAAGTACATTCTCAATTTTCTCTGGATTTCTGAAATGCCTTTCTCGTAAACAAAGATAGCTCAAATGGATAAGGATTAATTTGAAGTCAGGAACCATAACATTTTTTATTAACTGAACAGAACCCAACTTTAGAGGAAATGAACTGTGCATATTAATTATGTAATTTTAGAGTTATAAAAACAACACTGATGATGAACAACGGGCTTTAAAAATTCAGTGATGTGCAGCTACATCAATTTACATAGCCAGCATTATTTCACATACACAAAAACCGAACAAACAGAAAAGGGTAGCTACTATTAATACAGATAATTTCAGTCGCTGTAAATGAAGTAAATAGGATAAATAGTTGCTAAAATAGAAAGTGCAAGAGCAGAAATTAACACTAATTTAGAAAAATTTCCTAATTAAAATGCAGATACAGTTAGGAGGAGAGCACAAGTGCAGACAAGAGCATACGGACAGAACAAGAAGTCAGCACACAATCCACAGTTTGCAACTGAAGTCACTTGCTCCATATTCTGCAACAATAAATGCCTAATACGGAGATCAAGGAACAGATTTTCCAAAAATCTAGCACCTAACTCTAGACATTTGAATCTTGTCATTTTGGGCAATAAGTTTCAGTTTCCTCAGCACGTTGAGCCGAAAACAGCAGTGATATTTGTTTGTCTTTGTATATGCCTTACATGGTCTGTTTATAAATAAAACACAGTCATGAATTTTGAGGGAATGTTAATTTAGAGCTGATAAGACATAAGCCTTAAACTGCTTTAAGATCTTCAGAAAGCCCAAACTTAAATACACCAATATCATGGGATAAGAACAACATGAATAGATTACAAGGCAAAGATTTCTTAAACATCTACTTACATCTATCTTTTTTATTTTCTGTGCTTGGGTCAGCGTTTTATTAAATGTATGAATATGTACTTTGTAAGTAGAGTCTGACTGTAGATATGGAAGCTGAAAAAAACCAAAGACACTTTCATTAGTACAGCTGCAGTGCTACTCAGTGTGATTAAGGAACAGTATCATCCAGATTCTTTACACACATACCATCTTCTCCATTGGATAGTCCTTCAAAGATGCGTAGAGCTCCCCCGCAGATCTTCCATGACCCCACAGTTCAAATATAGACCTGAAATTAGAAAGTTTTTGAGGGTGCAGTCACATAGCAGGAAATAATGCCTTACAGATACTTACTCCTTTTAACCTTCTTGGCCAATGTATTTATGCTTTGCTTCATGGAATATTGAAGTGCAGTATTTAACTCCTAGCACATGCTTAAGTTTTATTCTTGGCAGGGATACACTTATTTTTAATCCTAAACTGCTATTTCAAGGAAGCTTTTTTGTCTGGTAAAGGTAAATTTCAGACTTACCACCCTTGGATATCTATCACCCGACCTGTATCTGGCAGTGATCAGACAGTGATACTAGCAAATGAGACAGAATTCATTTGTACCTACCGATTTGATGGGGTAAGCAAAGGCTGGAAAAGGTCAAGAACAGACTCTGAAAGTGTTAAGCTACTCTGGAGTAACACAAATTGAGAAACTGTAACATCCTACGTACAATGACCTCATCAGAGGTTCCGCCCCCTTTTAAGATGTGGTTATGATGTTGGACATTTTCAGATGTTTAAACACTACGCTGTCTTCTTACGCTTTGTCTGTTTGTTTCCATATTGCCAGCTTTAAGAAAAGCATTGCCTCGGAAAATGAGAGAGCTGACACTACTGTAATGAAGAAACAACACCACAGCATAGATCTCTCCCCCAGCATCCAAATATCCCAACCGAGTGGCCTTTCCACATCAAAGAAAAAGATCCTTTTGGTACAGGAATCCTAGTGTCACTGCATATATTGCTAGACACTTGTATGTGCATTTACAACACACCATAAACACAGTCCCTAAGGATTAGCAGTGCCATGTAGTACCTTTTCAAAGATGACTCCTGAAGGAAAATCTTCAAAATGTACAGAAGTTTAGCCCACTCAAAAAAAAAAAAAAAAAAGAGAACTACATTTTACTAAGTGACAATAGCACATACGAAGGCTCAGTGGTAAGCTGTTCTGTTAAAGTAGTCCTTTACCGAATAAATTATGTAAGGCTACATTTCTAACTTGCATTTACCCTGAAAAAAAAAAATCACATTTTTTGCAGCGTCTCATTTTTTTCCTAAAGCTTGTGATTCATCTACTGTGAGAATTTGCACTATATTTATAGACGAAGCAAAGAAAATGCTGATAGCATCAGCTATACTAGACAGAACCAAATACTCATCTTTGAATTTTATTCAACTGTTGGAGAAGCTCTTATAAGACCTTCAGGCCCACTCCTTAATTTTACACTTGCATGTGTATTGAAAAAAAAAAACAACACAAAATGCTTGGGAGATTTTATTTAGATAAATGTTATGCTTCTAAGCTTTTAATTTTCATTAGTGTTGCAATGGACATGCTCCAGCAATCTTACTCTAAAACTAATAGATCTCCCCACAACCAGCAGCAGACCAGGAAAAAAAACAGTGGGTCAGTTATGATTTCTACATAAAATAAGCACACATTAGCTGAAAGAGCACGGCACATGGAACATCTGCTTAGTTGCCTACTTTTTGGTAGTTTATCCTCACTGGAAACATACTATCACAGGGACAATTTTGCACACATGGGGTTTCTTTAGGCAAGAGTTTTCAAGCCAAGTCATTGCAGGTAAAACTCAATACCTGACACAAGAAGCACTCACCAGAGACCATGCCACGCTCTGCAGAGGCACCAAACTAACCCTGAACAGTAAAGCACGGACAACCCAAATTTAGCACGGTCAGAAAGCCATACCACAGCTATGCTGCTTCTCATCCTGAACCATACCTCTGAGACCTCTCTCAAGCCTCACTGGAAAGCACACTATTCAGACACCCCTAAGAAGGGCCAAAAGCCACTGGAACAACCACTCTCTGGCATGTCCCTGTGCTCCTGAATTTTCTAGAAGGATCTCTGCTGCAGCGGTCCGGGCTGAGGGCTCAGATATCAGCACTACAAGGGTGACACAAAGGAACCACTACCTTTCTCTTCCAAACTTGATTTTCAGTTTTTATGTATCACTGGTTTTATCTTTTAATTCCATACATATTGTAGAACAAACCACTAGCTAAACATTATTCAAGGGGACTAAAACATCAGTGACACCACAAGTACTGGCTCTGCAGTGAAGAACATAGTTTTGAGACCCCGCGTTGATCATACACTAAGTAAAGACGACAGGCATGGGACATAATCAGTCCTACAGGTTCCAGTAACACCTCCTCAATTCCAGAGCTAATCAGAGACCGTTTATTTTAAGCCTCCACGCAAAATTAATATTTGCCACAATACAGCAGAACAATTTTCCACAGCCTACATTAACATTTACAAGATTTTTCACCTCTTACTTTGCACATACTGTCCGTTTCATTAGGCCCCTTGCCATGTCTTCTGAAGGAATATTGAGAATCCAAAACGGAGACTGAAATGAAGAAAAGATAAGTGATACAGACACACAGCTGGAGGATGTCACATGAACTACACAGCTACACAATTCTGTTCTATGAAAACAGAACACACATGTTGAAGATTAAAAAAAAAAAAATTAAAAAATCTGTTAACTGTACAGCAAACATGAGGATAAAGCATTTACTTTGAGGTAAAACTGTATACTCAGCTTGAATGTCTGAGAAATTTTATTAGGTATTTCATTTTCCCACCATGCCTTTGACTTGGTAAAATATTATTATCTGTTTATGCTTCTCTACATTATTCATCTTCTAAAGACTCAAGACACCTCGTTACACACAAGCAGTAACTAAAACCCAATAGCATTCTCTGGCTAAGCATTGAGACCCGAATCATACAGCTTCCTAGATTCACTCTTCCACATACACCGCCTCACTGATTTAGAAGCAAACACCAAAGTCAAATCGCTGCTGAATGCTTTCACGGTTGGGCTATCCCGGCAGATGGCACTGTTTCTTTCCACACTGTTAAATGAAGAGGCGTATTTTGTGCATCCTTGACTCACTTCCGAGTCTTTACCGAAATGAAGAGTTGCTCATTTTTGGAAGATTCCTTATTTTCCTAAAGAAATTTCAAAATTTATTCAGCTACCTGCATTTAACAGAAATACTATAAAGAACATACTTGTAGACCATACATGCACTCGAGTAAAATATTTGGTCCTCACTTACATTTACACGGATTTCCTGCTCACCGCTGAACTGTCCACCATAAAGTGAGAGCAAAGATGTTACTTCCTAAAGCAAAAACATAAAAGTCAGGCTTTAGAGCATAAACTGATGTTTTAATGAAAGAAAAAAAAACCAAAAAACCAAAACACCACAAACAAAAAGCAGCATACCATAGAAAACGACTACCTCCATGGGGATCACAAATGTTAGAGACAGCAACAGCAGAGAGAATGGTGTTTATTAACAAATTACTGTGGGAACCAACAGCGAAACACTCTTAGAGCAGCTGCGTGGATAGGGAAAAGGTTCGCAATTAAATTCAGCTTGTGTGTTCTGTTCATGAACCAAAAAAAATGACGACTCTCCTGCTACAAAAGCAGCTGATTACCTTTCCCAGAGTTCAGCTGCAAAGGAAGGAGCTGCGGTGAGGTTACGAAAAGCTGTACAGCGTACCACACAGTGAGATCATGTCAGCCAAATTTCAGTAATCAAATCCCATCATTCTGCAGTTTCACCGAAATCTTCACTGTTCAATCCTTCACTGTTCAATCCTACACTCTCACAACAATATTCCTCTTTACAGTATTATTCTATCTACTCTTAAAATATTTTTCTGACTAATTCACATAAAAGTGATGTCTCACTACTAACACTGACCCAGGGCCAGGCCCAGCACTGAGCATCAATTCCTTTTCTGCTACCTCTCTGCTTTACAGGTATCTCAACAGTTTTCTTCAGTAGGTGTCTTTTCCAGAGCAAACTAAACCAAAGACTGTGAACCAAACATGCAAAACAGCAAATCTCCAAGAAGTAAACTAGTAAGTAATAATTAAAAAAAAACAAACCCCCACTGAAAAGGCTTTTGAACTGAAACAAGAGGTAAACATTTGGGATGTTTCTCAAGCAGCCCCTTTGCTAGAAAGGACATGCTGCAGCCCCTGAACGTTACTGGCGAAACAACATGGAAGCAAATTTTAAAATTGGCTTAGATTTGAACCGAGTGGGTGAATAAGAAGATTACCAAAAAGTATCCTCAAAAACAGAGGAAAAGAAAACCCTAACATAACACTAGCACATGGCTTTAGTGGGACATTATCCCATTCATTTCCTTCTTTCCATCTGCATAGAAAGGACACAAGAAATGCTGGAAAAAAACAGGGCATTTGCTCTAGGAGAATAAAAGTTTTGCTTAACTATTTCATTGTATGGTCCTGAGACAGCAAAAGCACCTGAGATTTTACACATGAATCAGTGGCACCTCCACACACTACTAGCAATATTATCTACGAGAAAGTGACAACAATGAGGAGAAAGCACGGCCTGCGAGGAAAGGCTTGGAGAGAAACACGATCACAACCTCTACACGTGCTAAAAAAGCTGTTGTGATAAAGGAAGGTAATGATCTGTTTTCGACATATACTACAGAGACGACAAGAGCACCAGGTTCAGATCACAGCACTGCTCTGGATGACAGGTTGGGAAGATCCTTCCAAGAGCAAAGACAATGAAGCACTGGAACAGATCTGCCTGAGATATTGACAAGAAAACATTCGACGTGCATCTGTCTGTCCATTAGAGACACCCTGTGCTGGAAGACAGGATACCTCGTGATACCCCTCAGTATCTGATCTGACCAAAGAGAGATCCCTGACTACGCAGCATGGTTTCTCACTGACTAAGAAATACGAAACACAGAACTTTATTCTACAGAGACTTAACAACAAACCTGGGCTTCAAGAAACACCTTCAGCTGTTGTGATTCAGCACCACCACCAGAACACAAGCAGTCCTCTCTTATCCCATGTGTAGGTGTGGTAGAGATGGAGATCAGGCAGCTGATCTGGCTGAAAAAGCTGTGCTTGTTTGTTTAAGACAAATCAAGTCCCTAACACAGTTCATCACCAAGCCAAACACATAACTGAGCAGTCACCCAAACAAAGGGAAATGGAACTGGTTTCTTCAGCAGCTGTATCAACCAAGAGCAACTACAGCCTTGGTGAAAAAAGACTTTCTATGTTACACATAAATTGTCTTTTTTTTACTTAATCTGATGACGTTGTCTAACGAAAAATTGGGTTGATCATAAATAAACTCATGTTCCAGTCCCACAAAGCAGATAGTAAAAAGCAATGCGCAAAAGAAGGCCTTGATGAAACCAAGGAAAATAAATTATGCAATACACATTAAATACTTTAAAACGCATGTAATGATGTCCTACCAATTCTAACAAAGTAACTGCACTTCAGCACTATTTTAAACAATAACATATTACCCTGCATATCATATGACTGGCTCTTCAAGTTGGTGCCTAGAAGAGCACCTAGGATAACAAAATGTGTTGCGGTGTGTAGTAACTCTCTAAGTCATCATGGGAAAAAAAAATAATCACAAGTTAAATTTACAAATAAGAGGGTTTTCTTATAAACATGGAAATTGAGTGTACGCTAAACTAGACATTCACCAAGGATGCATAAAAAACACCAGGGACTCACAAAAAATACCAGGGAGCTTCAGAGAAGTTACAATTTATTTTTGTTTTAACGATTTCTGCGAATACCAGTTGGATAAGATAAAACCAATTTAGTGACAGGGAACAAACTCTGTACCCCACATTTTGCAACCAACTGGCATAAACGTGTCGATGACAAGCGCAGTGCAGCACTCGAGGCAGCACTTGCTGGCTCCCACACCTGACATGCTGCCAGCCCACCGCAGAAACGGGTCTACGCTCTCTGATCCCGCGTCGGCCAGCGGGCACAAACCCTTCTGACCGCATGGAAACAAACGCTCAGAATCAAAAGCAAAGAGCGAGCAGCCCTCGGTGCCACCAGTGTGATGCAGAGGAGGGATGCTCCGGGCCAGGGCACCAGCCGAAGCCCTGGGGACCTCTGTTCAACCCTGGCCTGCACGGCAGGCCCTAGGACTTCAGAGAAGCCCCGTCCTCGCTGCTCCCCAAGTCCTCCTCCAGAAAATGAAGATATCTGCACCCTCCTGCCTCACGCAGCTCCATCGACACCTGGGACGGAAAGGACCTCACACGTACCCAGGGCAGCACTGACCATTTATGTACCCGCACCACGCTGGCAGAGCGGCTACGCAGATTGAACAAACTAAAAAGTCACCAAAACAAGACCCTAGAAACATTTCCATAAACCCATTTTTTCCTCCCAGTTTCCATTTCTTATCTGGAGCCCCAGGTACTTTGCTGGCAACCTCTCCTAGCTCCAAAGGCTCTTGAAAGCGGCAAGGAAGGCGTCGCCTCACAGCCACGGCCAAGAGGCTCTCCGCGGAGGCCGGGGGCAGGAGCGGGAAGCCCACGCCCGCTGCAAGGCCGAAAAGAGGCAGCCCCGCACCGCGGGGGGTCGCTTGCCACGGGACGCGGGGAGCGCCGAAGGAAGGGGGA